TTAGTATCTTAGCTTCTTCATCATCAGTGACTTTTTTTAAGAAGAAAAAGAAAAAGTAGGAAAAAAACAAAATGTAATGAGAAAGAGTGAAAGAGAGATTATAAGATATGTGCAGTATATATCGAGAACACTAGACAGCATACCCGACATCTTGGCTCCACACCTACAAAAACAAAGATTACAAAACCACAGCACAAAAATGCATATCTACGTATATAATTACAATGATTATGGCCTTGCTGAAAGCTATACCTATATACATATATAAAAATACACATACCTACATACACATACACACTCATACACACACACACACACACACACACACACACACACACCTTAACATTAACGTTGTTTTGTGTGTGGGGAAAAAAGCCAAGAAAATTAGGTAGTAAAAATAAATACACTGAAACACAAAAAAATCAGTTTGATCATAAAATAAAAAGTTGTATTGAGTGACAATTCTTGTTCATGCACACTTCAGTAGTTCATAATTTACGACTGCATGAGTTGTATTCATTCAGGCACTTAAACTATTTACAGAACAAGCTTTTTTTAAACTCAGAACATGAATTATTTTTTAACTTTTGTGATTAAAAACATTGATTTGAATCTCATTTTCGAAGCTGTTCTGTAAATAACATAAAAAAATAATGCATATAGCAACTTCTGATCAATCCATATCATTTTCAGACTTAAAACAATGAACAGATATAATCCCTGCCAACTTCAGGTTAAACCACACCTACTTCTGATTTAGGCCCCGCCCACTCCAAGTACAGATATACAGATAGAGATAATTTAGATGGTTGAACAGATACAGATAGTGGTGTACTCGCTCATCCCTATTATTTAATCTGTTATTGTTTTTGAGCAGTAGAGTCACTTTACTGCAGAAACAGTTCATCTAACCAAGTTTTACAGTCTTATATCAGCTAAAAAGTATTTTCTGATCTTGTTTTTAGACCGATACTAAACAAGATCAGAATACGTTGGATTATTAATCTTGTTAATCTGAATTTTTTTTTTTACTTCAAGAAGTCTTACCAATTGCAACTGTCAAACTGCAGATTATTAATTATTATTAATATGAAAAGAGTAAGGGAATAAATAAATCTAGTATTTTAGCTTATTTTTAGAAGCCTAATTTTTGCAGTGTCTGATCAGACATCAGTTCTTCATGCACTTATTAAATTTATTCTTTTTTTCTTCGCATTAAAATACTACAAAGTAAATCTATTTACTTTATTTATTAGATTATCCATGAAAAAGAATAATAAAAAAGATTTAACCCCAGCTTCACCTCTAAAATAATATGCCAAAATACCTCAGAAACTCGAACAAATAGGCTTTAACAAGGCTTTAATAAGCTAAACAATAGAGGTACATGAGAAAATGTGTTCATAACGAACAAAAATAAATAATTAATTAAATAGTGTCCGTGCCGGTCTCAAACCCTGGTCTCCTGCTCTCCGGTCCAACACTCTACCCATTGCCTTATTGGCGGCTTGTTGTGATTTGAGCTGCGCATTACACAACAACAACCGTGACGGCTTTTTATACTGAGGAGGTGGAGTTTCACCCGGGGGTTGCTAACGGCTGAACGCAGGTTCCTGTGGGTTGTCGAATGGCTTGTGACATCACAAAATAACTGAAATATAAAACTTGTCATTAATATACATTAATAATACATTTACTTACAGTAAATATGCCCCTGGGTGCATTTTTTGGTCCTAGGACTGTTTTCTTAAGAAGTACATACCCAAAGTTGAGTAAAAAAAAACCTTTAAAAATTGAATTTTGCATAATAGGTCCCCTTTAAGACAGTGAAAATTAGAGCATACTTCTCTGCACGGGTCAGTAAACTCTGCTCACCTGTGTGCTGGACAGCTGCAGCAGCACTGTGGCACGAGGTCTGTGATGCATGATTTCACTGACGAATTATTAAAAATCTTTTTTTAAGTTGAAGTTAAAGTATCATTGACATTCAAGACTACTGTGCAACAAAAAAGTTAATAAAACTAATAAAAATTAAACTAATAAGGCTTTAAGGCTAGAAATAGTCATGTGGCTCCGGGTTGTCGACCCCTGTTCTATTTAAAAACTCTGTAACACTGAATTTTGTTGTGTCTGACTTGCCTCCATCAGACACACACACTAAATCCTAATTTTCTTAGGGTGGTAAATTGCATGCAACATGCCCACTTTTACCACAGACTATTTTTTAATTTGTGCATGGTATTGGTAATGGTTATTTGCCATCTTGATAAATCAGGCCCTCAGTGGAAAAATCTGTAAAACTCAAAAGTTAAAGTATGATTCTGTAAAAACCACAAAAAGATTACAAAAGTCTAACCTTTGTAAATATGCATGGTTTTAATTACTTCTACTCTGCAGTCTTTTTTTTTTTCAATTTTTTTTATATTGTGGGACTTACCTGTAGCATAATTCAAGACACAATGTTACCAATCAAGCCACGTGTTCGAGATGCAAAACAAATTTTGAACATGATAGTAATAATGGTGCTTCAATAATTGTGAGTAAGTGCTCTTAATATGATGATGATTTGGGAGAGTAAGTTATAGTAATAATCACCTGTTAGTGCTGCTGTGCCCTAAGACAGAGATTCTTAACCTATGGGCCACGGCCCAATTGTGGGCCACGAGCGCCACCATGAGGGCCTCAAAAGAACAACAGTTTTTAACTTTGGGCCGCAGAGGGCCYTGGGACCACATTGATTTTGAATAAGGTGCAATACACTTTCTCACCACTAGTAGCAGTAGTGCACCACTCAGATGTTTAACAACTTTTTAATGTGTAGAAGAAGAACCTTTGAAATCTGCTGAGAATGGAATCTTATTTTAAATGAAAAGTAGAAGCAAAAATGAAAGTAACTCATCAAAAAACACCAAAGTTTGTCACTAATATGAAGAGCAGCTTCTGGTTCTGTCATGCAGTATTTTAAAAGTTCAAAACATTATCAAATACAGTTGCAGACACAACCATTTTTTAAATTTGCACTTCATCAAATTATTTTTGTAGTTTATTTTTCAATATTTTTAATGTATTTTAAAGAAACTTTAAACTTGTCAAAAAGCTGTAGTTACTGTTATTATTTGTCACTAATATGAAGAGCAGCTTCTGTTTCTACCATGCGGAAGTTTAAAAAAGGCTATATTTTCATTTGTACTTTATCAAATTTATTTTTACGTTTTTTATACATATTTGAAACATTTAAACATTTTTAATTAATTTATTTTATGCCCACAATTCTATTTATTGAATTGTCTATTTTTGTTATTGTTTATGTTAAATAATATATATTATTTGTGTTGATAAGCCTGAGTGGTCTGTTGACTGACGTTTGTATTTTTTCAAATAATTGTTATGGGCAGGTTATTATAAAAATGTTTGTCATAATAACATCTTGTGATTATTTGACAGGAGTTTTACTTTTAAACTGTAAGAGTATATAATTTCATTATAATGTAAATAGATTTTGGTACCGAAACTCGGTTCCAGTATGGCAACTGGGCGAAGATCAACGGTAGTACTCAGACCAAAACACAACTCTAATTTCGGTGCTTTATTTCAGTGCCTCAAAGAAAGCTGTTAATTGCGCCCTCTGGTGTTCACTGTTAACTGTGACGGCCTCGGCACAATCTCCACAGAGTGCCAACACCAATAAGGGTGAGTTATTAACTTTTAATGTGTTTTAACTGTCTAATTTAGCTGTTTCTGCCCTCTGTGTCGGACTATGAGTGGTAGAGAGAACAGCTGTGTGTTTGTTTCACTTTGAATGGGAGCGCAGTGAGCGCCATGTTTTTACTTTCGGTTTGAAACTGCACTGTAGTTAGCGTGTCCGAGTTGTTTTTCTTTTAAAAAATGCTGGAACTGCTCACAGGAGGCATAGAAGAACACCTCTGTTGTTCTCCCTGCTGGATTAAAACAAAAAGCTCTCGGTCCTTTCTCGCTGTTACGTTAGAGCTGCCGCCGTGCAGCAGACAGACGCTGCAGATCACGTCAGCTCTGACCGCAGTAAAGTTGTGATGCAGTTTTCCTTTGGTGTGCATTTCAAATTGTGCTCTAAAGTTAACTTCAGCTGATTTAAATGCATTTTTTGCCTGGTGTTTAAAAAAAATGGGTGCAGACTGAGGCAGACTATGACACTGTGTGTGTGAGTGAAGTCCTCACAAATATAGCAAGATGTATGTGCGTGTCTTCTTTTTCTCTGAGTTGCTCTGACAGTTTTATTTAGGCCTGTTGCTGTTTTTGCATCAAAATGCTGGGATATTAAAACAGTCATTTTTTATGTAAAAAAATATATATTAATCTGATTAATATACAAATAAAAACAGAATATTTGGCACTATATAAAATAAATCATGAATTTATTTATTTTTTAAATGTTTTTAAGAAAGGGATGAAAGAAGAAATCCTGTGTGGCAGCACTTCATACAGCCTGCATCAGACAAGGCAGTTAATAAAGGGTTTTGTTTGTTTTGTTTTTTAAAATGTTGGTTAATTTCAAGTTTGACTTTGCCTCAGAAATGCAGTAATCATTGCTACATAAACCTCTGGGTGAGTGTGAGTGTTTTATTTATTTATTTTTAAAGTACCATTTTAAATACCATTTAGGAACCGGTACCATTTTGAAAGTATCGATTTAGCAACGGTATCGAAATAAACCCTTTCAATACCCAACCTTAAATGTAAATACAATAAAAATTAAACCAAGCTTTAGAATAATTATCATTTTTAATCCAGATATTGGTAATGTCGGACTGGGCCTCGTGCCTCTTTATGTTCAATAAATTGGGGCCCGAGGTGAAAAAGGTTAAGAACCCATGTTCTACGAGATCTAATCAATCAAACTGGAGAGCGAACAATGGTTCTTACTGATGTGAATGATTCCTAAAACAGAAAGCCAAGAGGAAGGAAATTTAATACGATTAAAAAAGTGGAAACTGACATTTGACATGCTTCAACATCAGACCTACCTGTAAAAATAACTGTGAGTTCTGCGTGAGGACAGTGGACTGTGGGAGGGAGACAGGCCAGGGAGGTGTCCTGAGGAGGTAAGCTGTCTGGTGGTAGTCTTTATATATGATGGAAATATAGGAGGATATGGTTTCACTGCGTTGTTGGAAGAGCATGAAGAATGGGTGGACCTTTGGAGCTTTTTAGCTGAGTTAGGACTTTCCTGTGGTGGTGGTGTAGTGAAGCAGGTGCTGCTCCTCCTGCAGTGCTGAACAGAAACAGGCGCCTTGGTGTAGGCAGCTGCAGTACTGCTGGTTTCAGAACCTGCACTTGGGCAGTCATTAAGGGACTCTGCACTGGTATCTGAGTCCAACTGACTTCTAAATTCTTTGAAAAACATTCTTGTGCTTAAGGCCTCTGCAGGTTTGGAATTACAAATGCTGGTTGCAGCTGCAGGACTGAGATCAACATCATCCTCTCGCAGGGTTTCACCCTCTCTTTCCTCCCACCTCTCTGAACTGTCAAACGTAATTTCAGAAAAGATGTTACTAGATGTTTCCATGTCGGTTGGGCTGACTGCTACCCCTCCAGCATTATTCATTGAGATGTCTATGAAAGGGGACTGCTGCAACAAAACCTGTTGGTCTTCTGTGTCAATGGCAATGCAAAGAGAGCCTTCTAATACCACTTTACCCGTCCCCAGCTCCTCCTCTGTCCCCTCCTGTCTCTGCAGCTCTGTGTGGAAGGAGGTCTGTGTGGTTGGAAACACCAGCGGCAGGTCTGTAGGTTTGACAGAGTCAAGCAGGGTTCCTCGCTCTATGAATGACAATGCATCAGACCCCATTTCCAGTTCGGGAGTCACGTCTTGAACCTCAGCTGAATTTAATGTCATGATCCCATTACTCAACTTTCTTCTCACCTCTGTTGCTTCCCCGCAGCTAAGATCCTCTCCTCCTCCTCCTCCTCCTCCTCCCTCTCCATGTGCTTCCAGGATTGAAACAGTCCCACCATGCTGCAGATGCTGGAGTTTTATCGTGAGCTGAATGTCTGCAAGTAAATCCTCTTGGTCAGCTGCTGAGTGGAAGCTGTAGATGTCAGTGTCGGACCCTGAGCTGCCTCTCTTCTGTCCTCCTCCTTCTGTGGGAGAGGTTTTCAGCTTCAGCCGTTGCTTTTCCCCTCTCCATCCGTCTCCATCCCTGCTCCCCAGGTCCAGTTTCTCATTCTTGTTGAGAAATGCAGCCTCGGTGTCTGACTGTCCCAAATCATCTCCAGACAGATCGGGTGTTTTCGAGCTGTCCGGCTCATTGTTTTGTAATGCTAATATGTCCTCCTTTGAGCCAGTCACTGATGAGCATGTTTCTCCTTTCCCTTTCTGATTGCCCTTTCTCTTCCGCAGGGAAAAAACAGAGGTCTTAGAGTCAGACTTGTGTTTTTTTCTGCTTGGTCCCGTGCCATGTGACCCTCCTCCTTCTCCACCACTGACTGCTCCTCTACCTCCATGCTTACCGAGTTTCTTCCCCCTCCTTTTTGTCACGTCCCCTCCTCCCTCCTTCCATTCTTCGTCTATTGAAGGGTAGCTTTCATTGCTTGATGCAGCTGCAGCCCTCTTTTGTTTTGCTTCCTGGTTTCCCATGTTAACAGAGATGATGCTGCTGTCCTCTTCGCTCAGGTTATGTCTGGGAAAGGTCTTTCTGTCTCAGGAAGATTTTAGTGCCTGTAAACAAGGAAGGCAGAATCGTCGGATCCTTGGATGCTGGTGAAAAAGGAGGAGCTGATGATGATGATGGTGTTGATTTTTTTCCCCCTGTAAGCGTTGTTCATCACAGCATGTTTTCTTGTGACGAAAGCAGTGATGCTGAGACTGATGCAGAGGAGACGTACAACCCCCTCCTTTTCCTGCTCTGTCTCCATCCCACCCTTCATCCCCTCCTCTGTGGAAAGGAAGGGATGAGAGCATTCTGCTCACTGGAACTCTGGCAGGAAGGCAGGCTGAGATTAACTGATGGAAACAAAACCTGAATTGGATAAAATGCTGCTGGCAGGAGAGGATGAAAAATGTGGGAAAATGTGTGTGTGTGTTTTTGGTTTCACTCTCTTGATCCTCTCGCTTATACCTTGCAGGAGCCAATAACACAGTTTAAACTACATTTCCCATGATTCTTAGACTCCCGCCTACATCACCTGCCTACATAGTATTTAAAGGCATAGCATGCCATTAAACATTACATACACTGTCTTTCATGACAGAGTGTTAAATATGATAAAAAGGGACAGAGTTGCAGTCGTAATCAAGCCTCGGAAAGGACAATTGAATTTGTAAGATCTTGTGGGATTCATTATTAATGTTTGGAGACTTGTGGAAATTACTCACAGCTAGAGCTGGTTGGTTCCTGATCTACTCTCTATCTCTCTCTAATGTTCTCACACTAAATCAGGACTCACAAAGTTGTGGTTTAAATTCATTCAAATGCTTAATGTCCTCTGGCAGACGACAGCTTAAAGTCAGCAAGCAAAAAAAAAAATTTTAAAAACAGAATAACTTCAAACTTACAAAAGATTTATCCAATTTACAAAAAAACAAACAAAAACAAACATTTGTTGTCTCTTATATCTAATTTCCATTACATAGCATATTTTCCCAAAAACTCTAATTTAATCTCCATTTTGAATGAACACACACACACACACACACACACACACACACACACACACACACACACACACACATATTAATGGCAGTACAAGCCATAAATATACTGCCACTCTCACATACATTCATTTTATCGCTGACACATATACTTTATCTCTCACATACATATATTGTATTTTATAATTCAGATACATGTATTTTATCTCATGTTAGGTATTCAAACAATTAATCGATTTATGATTAACTGTCAAATAATGGTTTATCATGTAGTGGTCACCCTTATCTATCTTCCAATGAGTTTGTATGTAAATAATTGTTTTGTAAAATAAATATCATTTATTTTTAGATAAACTTTATTGACTACGATACTCATTGTCAAAGTCTTGGTCATAATAAAAGTGATGGTGAATATTAATATTTACTTAATAAAAGAACCCGTTTCCTCATATATTAACTATATTAATATTAGTCGATATTAATTAGGTTAAATATGAGAAGTTATGTTGGGGTATCTCCTACAATCAGATTAAAATTTGTTCCAATCAATTAATTGATAACATCTGCCAGCACATGGTCCATTTAAATCGCTTTAACAGGAAAGTACACCTTCTCTGAGACTCAATTTGAGTTTCAAATCTGCTTCATTTTTTAAGTCAGCGTATTATATTAACCCTTCATGCTATGGAAAGACCCTCTTGATACAAGAGAAAACAGGTTTTTAAGAAAAGGGCTGCTTATCAAATGATCAAGATCAATCAACTTTAGATTAAATAATCAATAGCAATTATCCCTATCTCACCTACAAAAATTTTATCTCTCACATACGTGTACATACAACCCCTGGTAAAAAATTATGGAATCTCTGGCCTCGGAGGATGTTCATTCATTTGTTTAATTTTTAGAAAAAAAGCAGATCACAGACATGACACAAAACTAAAGTCATTTCAAATGGAATCTTTTTGGCTTTAAGAAACGGTAAAAGAAAAAAATCAAGAAAAACATGTGGTAGTCAGTAATGGTTATTTTTTTAGACAAAGCAGAGGAAAAAAATTATGGAATCATCCTGTAAATTTTCTTTAAAAAGAGTGATCACACCTTGGAGAGCTGTTTGCACCAAGTGGACTGACATCAATCATGGCTCCAACACCAGAGATGTCAGTTGAAACAAAGGAGAGGATTATCAAACACTTAAAATACGGAAAATCATCACACAATGTTGCAAAAGATGTTGGTTGTTCACAGTCAGCTGGATCTAAAATCTGGACCAAATACAAACAACATGAGAAGGTTGTTAAAGGCAAACATACTAGTAGACCAAGAAAGATATGAAAGTGTTAAGACAAAAAACTTAAAGTAATATGTCTACAAAACAGAAAATGCACAACAAAACTAATGAGGAATGAATGGGAGGAAACTAGAGTAAACGTCTGTGATTGAACTGTAAAAAACAGCCTAAAAGAAAAGGGATTTACATACAGAAAAGCTAAATGAAAGCCATCCTTAACACCTAAACAGAAAAAAAAAAACACGGTTGCAATGGGCTAAGGAACAACAATTGTGGACTGTGATGACTGGATGAAAGTCATGTTCAGGGATGAATGATGAATCTGTATTGGGCGAGATGATGATGCAGGAACTTTAGTTTGGTGCCGTTCCAATGAGATTTATAAAGATGCCTGAAGAGAACCAGTAAATTTCCACAGTCATTGATGATATGGGACTGCAGGTCAGGTAAAGGCACTGGGGAGATGGATGTCATTACACCTTCAATAAATACACAAGTTTACCTTGATATTTTGGATACATTTCTTATCCCATCAAATGAAAAGATGTTTGGGGATGATGGAACCTAAAAAACTAATACAGTAGCTTGTATTTTACGTAAGAACAATACAAAACACTTCGAGCAACAATGTATAAAATTAACTTTATATTCACCTCAATCTCCATATGGCACTGCGGGTTCAGCAAAAAGAATATGACTTTTGAAAAATGAAGCTGCTGACCAAACAAGTTTAACTTTAATTTGAACTATATAAATAAAATAAATATAAATAAATATATATTTTATATAATAAAAAATATAATTTAATAGTTTACTTCCACATAAGCTGTAACGAAGAGAGGCCAGGCTCACTGGGTCTCGATTCAAATAAAACTTGCTTCCCACAAGAAGTCAAGACAAAGTTGCTTTGTGAAGCTTAATATTTGTATTTGTGGACACGACAGGCGTGTCGTGTCCCATGGCTGTCGAGATTCCCCGTTAGCTCATGGATTCAAATCTCTAATGCTACGTTCACACCGAACGCATTTTGAGCAGCAAAAAACCACCCAACACCTCCAGGTGGACGCACCACGTTCAGACCGGGACAGACCAGACACGCCTCTGAAGAGGGAGGAGCGTCTTGGTTTTTTCCAGTCTGTCTTCGGCATTTGAAATAAGGATAAAATAAAGAAAATGGCTTTGCTTTATTTACTAAAGAGCAAGCAAACCTTGCGCACACCAGATCATTAATTCACCAGATGATTTAGAGGCTATTTGTTCGGTTCGTTTCGCCACTCCAGCAGCTGCGAGCTGACAGACTATTTTTTGTCCCAAGCCCAGTACGAGCTCCTGACCCACATCGGTGCTGATATCTCCAGCCAGAACATCAACTACAGATGGTTAATTTCAGCTAAAGAGCTCCTGTTTGTCTGTTTCGGTTTAGTGGGCAACATTCAGGAAACTGTCACATGGAAAAAGGAGTCTCTCTGATTGGTTGTCAAGACGCGGCGAAAGTTCAGATTTTTGAACTCGGGCATCGACTGCTTTCGCCACACCGCATGCATGGAAAATGCTCTGCCACACCTTCTGCCTTCCTTGTGTGCCACGTTAAATGGACCTGACGCGCCGCAAGACCCCTAGAGGCGCGTCTGCCATAGACTTTGCATGTAAACTGGCTGCTCCTGCAGCTCAAAACACATTTGGTGTGAATCCACCATTATTCAAAACACTGTTACTCCAAGGGAGAAGACAGCTGATGTTGTGGACAGAAGTCAGTACGTCTCATTCTACTGTCCGGGCGGAAATGCCGTTAGTCATTAAAGAACAAGGTTTTTAGTTCCGCTCTCAGTCGATGAATTAGTAAAACAGGAAGATAAAGAAAAATGATAGTTCAGACTTGCCGTTGCTATCTGGAGCTAACGAAGATTGTTGCTTCTGCACAGTTTGCATAAACAAAACATATCATGTTTAGATATCGTCTGATGAGAACTCTTTTACAAATGATTGAAAGAACGAATTACTTCAAACTCAAAAATCTTTGCAATATGATTCAGACAAATAAACACTGATGTTTCATCAAAACTTAAACAATAATGACTATTTTAGTTAAGATATTTCCACAGAAAAATTCATATTAGCTGAAATCACACCGAGGGAGAAAATAGATCTGTCCTCTTTTCTCCTGTAACTTGATAAATGTTGTTTCATGATTATCAAAATGCATCATAACTCTTGGTTAAGAGAAAAATAAATAAAATAAAAAATAAGATTATTCTGTTTATTATCTCATTAAGAAAAAGTAAATGACCCTTTGATGGTCAAGACAACCTGTTGTGACCCAAATTCAGGTTCAACCAGAACAGAGTCTCTTTAAAGGGCCCATCACAGGACTGAGATCACAAGACAGTTTTCTTGTTTATTTCACTCGAGTTGACCCCTACGTCCTTCTCTGTTTATTTCCTCCTGCCTGTCTTTGCTCCAGCCCTGCCCACTCTCACCTGTTCCTCATGTTTCTCTCCCAGGTGTTTCTTGTTCTTGCCCATTAGTCTGACCTTTATATTCTGTGTCTTGTCTTCACTTCCCTGTCAGTCATTGTGCTGTCTCCCCAGCCTGCGTGATGTCTTCCATGTTTTTCAAGTTTTATGTTAAACCAAGTGAGTTTTTTGAGCTGCCCCGTCAGCACTTTTTGTTTAATAAATACTTTGCTTTTTGGAGCTTTGAATCTGCTTGTACCCTGGGTTATTTTCTACTAAAACCCTGACAGAATGATCTGACCAACAGAACATTTTCTCAACAACTTACATAATGTCCGCCCCACCACCCCCCACTCTGAAGCTGGATCCAGCAGACATTAGGAAATTGTTGAATAAGTTACAGCAGGGGCAGAGAGAGCTAACTAAGGCCTGTGTCACATGGAAAGATAATCATGCCGATTTTTGCCCTTCCGACAATCTTAAGGAAGTTCAGATTATCGTGATGGCTCTGAAGATAATCATAGCAGATATTCCCCCGTGGGTGGTGAGTTAAGAGTGGTTTAGTCGGCTCGGAAGAACATCAGGCCGACCTCAAATCGGGGATATTCAACATGTTTGATTTTTTGGCCCGATATCACAGTGTGTGTAGTGTTCACCTGAGCTCGCAGCCTGTTGAATGAGATGTGTAGCCAATCATAAATCGAGGTGACGTAAACACGGAGGTGAATCCAAATACAGAAGACAAAAAAAACTGTCATAACTCACCAGAAAGTCCTCTGGATGTTGAAAGTCCAATGGAATTGTTTTTCCTCTGGTTAAAATAGTCCATAAACGATCAATATTTTTTCTTGTCGCAAATGTTTTATAAACATACCAATGTTTTCTTCAGGAATTCAGTCGGGTGTTTGAAGATTCCCCATCCCCTCCAGCAGGAGGCAGCCTCCAAGCATCTTCTCTCTCTACGCCAATGAATAAGGTCTGTAGCAGATCATTCCATCGACTTCCGGATCAGGGCGGAGGAATCTGGTTGGCACGATCATGCACTTAAAGGTATATTTGTCAATTCACTTTCTGATTTGTTAAAGGATCAGTTAGCCACCCGTGACGAACAAGACTCCCTAGATGGACTTATCAATCTGGCAATCAAGATCGACAGCAGACTCTGCCAGAGGAAGAGAGAAAGAAGGACTGCAACTCCCAGCTGCCCAGGGCTTCCGGGTTTTTCCTGCTCCGGCTCATCAATCAACTGAAGCGAATTCACCTGAGGCAGAACCGGAGACTATGCAGCTGGGACATATTCATTTGTCCCGCAAGGAGTGGCAAAGACGCTATGAGACTAAGGCTTGTTTTTACTGTGGGGGAAAAGAACATCAAGTCGCTAAGTGCTCATTGTTAAAAGGGCGAACCCATCATTAAGGAAGGGGATTATAGTGGGTCATTCCAAATCATCCCCTAAGACCCCTTTCACTCTTCACTTCATGATCATTGTCAATAAAAGGATAAGTTCTCTTTCCATGCACTGGTGGACTCAGAAGCTGAGCAGAACACAATTTCTGCCAACATGAAACAATTAAGTCTCACGACAGAAGCCCTGGATCCACCATTACCAGTTGTTGGAATTACTGGACAAGACCTCACTAAGATCACTCATTAAGTCTCCAACCTTCTGGTCATCATTTCTGGAAATCACTGCAAGTTTGGTGAGTTCTTTGTTGATGATTCCTCTTCTCTACAACTCGTTTTAGGATTTTCATGGCAACAAAAACACAATCCTCTATTGAACTGGGCTGAAGGGAGAGTTGAACGCCGGAGCAATTTTTGTCTGAGTCACTGTTTAAAGTCTGCTGTGCCATATGTTAAGTTTAAGGAAAATCCTCGTGAGGAGGTTGATTTATCTAAACTGCCTCAAGAGTATCATGATTTAGCTCCAGTTTTCTGTAAATCTAAAGTGCTTTCTCTTCCACCCCACAGACCCTATGACTGCTCTATTGAACTGTTACACTCCAGTTGGTTATACAACCTCTCAGGACCAGAAAGAGGGTCCATGAAAACATACATTGAAGAGTCTGTCACTTCAGGAATCATTCATCCATCTACATCCCCATTGGGAGCAGGTTTCTTTTTTGTTGCCAAAAGACAAGAGCCTGCGTCCATGTATTGATTTTCATGGACTCAGTCAAATAACTGTAAATGGACTGAATTTATAGAGCGCTTTATCAAGTCCCTCCAGACCCCAAAGTGCTTTACACTAACAGACATTCACCCATTCACACTCACATTCACACACTGATGATGGCAAACTATATTGTGGCCACAGCTGCTCTGGGGCATACATACAGAGGTGAGGCTGCCATGCACAGGCGCCACCAGACCCTCTGACCACCAWCAGTAGGCAAGGCGGGTGAAGTGTCTTGCCCAAGGACACAACAACTGAGACGGCTGGACGGGGGATCGAACCAGTGACCTTCCGGTTCAAGGATGACTCCCCTAACCACTCCGCCTCAGCCGTCAAAAATAAATATCCACTCCTCGCCGATTCAGTTCAACAACAACTTCACACTGCCACCATTTTTTCTAAGTTAGATCTTCGCAACACATACAATTTGGTGAGAATAAAGGAAGAGGATGAATGAAAAACCGTGTTTAAGAATACCCTGGGTCATTTTGAGTATTTTGTTATGCCATTTGGTTTAACCCGCTGTTTTCCAGTACTTAATCAATCACATTCTCACGGGTTTTCTTAACATTTTTGTGTTTGTCTATCTGAACAACATATTAATCTACTCACAAGGCAAAGTCCAAGGTTATCAACACATCCGTGCTGTACTTCAGTAGCTCTATGTACAGTAAGCCAACTGTTCTTAAACTGTTATTGTTACTGTTACTGTTATCAAAGCAGAGAAATGTGAATTTCATGTTTCTTCTGTTTCCTTGCTGGGGTTTATCTTTGGAGAAGGCTATTTCCAGACAGATCCCAACAAGATAAAGGTTGTGGTAGAGTGGCCCATCCACAAGGATTGCTGTCATCTACAGAGGTTTCTGGGTTTTGCTAATTTCTACCGTTGATTCATCAAGGATTACAGTTAGGTGGCAGCCCCCCTCTTCAACTTACCTCAACCCTCAAGACCTTCAGATGGACACCGGAAGGTGACGCCGCCTTCGGTGAGTTAAAGACTCGCTTTGTCTCATCTTTGGCACAACCATTTGAGATGGCAGTGCCTGGGGGTCTGAAACACACCCTTACACACCCCTCTGCTGCTGGACCTCCTGCTCCTGTTGGGCCTCCTGTTCCTGTTGGACCTCCTGCTGGGCCTCCTGCTCCTGAGTTGGCAGTTCCCGTTCCTGAGTCGGCGGCCCCTGAGGTTCTTGGGTCGACTGCTGTCGCCTCCTTGTCACCTTGGTCGTCAGCCATTGCCTCCTTATCACCTTTGTCACCTGTGTTCGCCATCATGGATATTTTGTCTCCAGCACCCTCCGCTGGCTATTTATGGCCTCCTTCCTTGGCTCCACCTCTGCTGTATGCAGTAGTTGGAGCTAATACTCTCCATTGCAGTTCGAGCACTTTTTCGCATAAACAAATGGCCACGAACTTTAGACCAATCATAAAGTAATTTCTTAGCAGGAGGGAGGTGAAAAGTTCTGCCAGCGGCGTGTGACAAGAAGGGATGAGACAGAGTTGACTTTGAGAAAATGGTGACGTAATTTTTGTTATGGAACTGTGACAACTCAAGCTGGAGGAAATATAAATATAATAAATAAAAATATAAACCAATGTTCTTCTCTATCAAGGATGAAAAGGCCTTCGTAACTGAAAGAGTGACCGCTGGCCAGTAGATGACTATAAACTGCGGAGTCCTGCTTGGATGAGATAGCTCATTTGTGTTGGGCCATTCTTTTGAACAGTGGATGCTTTGTTACCCTGATGTAGAATTTTATCACAGTCCTCCTCAGACTGAAAAAATCTCTTGGAGAGACAAAACATTTTTTTTCAACAAAGAGAAACCTATTCAGATGACCCGTTTAACTTTTTTAGAGATTGTTTATATTCTTTTTAAGGTCATTTATCATTAGATGATCTTAGTCTAAAACACTGATTTGAAAGGAAGCAGGTGATATGCATTCCTTCATGAAATGCTAGGCCTTTAAGTCCCTTCTAGATTTTTCTGAGTTATAAAATGTTGTTTTTCTGGCACACACAGCTTTAAATAGCTGCACAGACTAATTTGTGTAAATACCAGAATTTCTTCAATGCCCTTTTGTTGTTACATCAATGGTCCATGGTTTTCATTGTCTTACAGAAGTAACCAGGATAATGCGATTAGAGGTTTATTGAGGAGTAAATCCTCTTATGAATGTGTTAACAGAAACCTTGCTACCATTCAGCCCCACTTGTCAAAGAACCTCTGGAGAAAGAGGTTTGGATCACAAACTTCCACTTCAAGTCCACAGGCTTTTTGTCTCTTCAAAACTTATAAATATGGCAAAGATTGATGTACTGGTGGCATCTCTGCTAATTTTAGCAAATGTTTCTTTTTTGCAAGCATCATTTTCACCCAGCCTTATTGTGGATCTGGCAAAAATAGTCATGGACAATTACTGTTCTCCGGAGAAGCTAGTGGGGATGATGGAGGATATTGCAGCAGCTACAAGCAATACAGAAGTCCTCAACATGCCAGACGGCGAAACATTGGCCAACGTCCTAACCAACGGAGTCCAAACCACAATCAGTGATCCACGCCTGAAGGTCACCTATGAGCCAAACAATGTTCATAGGATTTCCCCACAGATCCCTGCCCTGTCCCCTGAGCAGCTCGTTGCTGTCCTCCAGACATCCATCAAGCTAGACATCTTGGATGGCAACATTGGCTACTTAAGGATTGACAACATCCTCGGAGAAGAGGCTGCTGACAAGGTTGGCCCTTTGCTTGTCGACCTTATCTGGAATAAAATCTTGACCACCTCTGCTCTAATATTTGATCTACGTTACACTGGCAGTGGGGACATCTCAGGTATCTCTTACATTGTGTCTTACTTCACTAAATCTGAGCCTCTGATTCACTTTGACTCCATTTATGACCGTCCCTCTAACACGACTATTAAGCTGTTTTCTATGTCAACCCTGCTGGGACAGAGATACAGCCTAATCAAGCCCCTGATTATCCTTACTAGCAAAAACACAAATGGCATTGCTGAGGATGTTGCCTACTGCCTTCAGAGCCTAAAAAGAGCAACCATTGTGGGTGAGAAGACTGCAGGAGGTTCAGTTAAACTTAGCAAATTCAAAGTGGGTGACACTGACTTCTACATTACTTTGCCCACTGCAAAGTCTATCAACCCTATTACAGGCTCCAGTTGGGAGCTTATGGGTGTGACCCCAAATGTGAAAGTCAATGCAGAGGATGCTCTTGCCACTGCCATCAAGATTATCAACTTCCGTAATCAAATTCCAGCCATTGTTGAGGAATCAGCCACCCTGATTTCCAAAAACTATGCCTTCAAAAATGTTGGAGGAGATATTGCAGAGAAGCTAAAAGAGCTTCTAGCAAATGGTGAGTTCAGCATGATTGTCTCCAAAGAAGATCTGGAGACAAAGCTGTCTGCTGAACTTTATACTATTTCTGGAGATAAAATCTTGAAGACCACCAGCAACAACCCATCCCTGCCACCACTGGTAAGATGATCCAATAAAATAATTGCTTTTAGGTCACAAACAGTATGCGTGAATTTCTATCTTCTATCTTCTTTTCCCCCTTAAGAGTAAGAGTAGAATTTCAGTGGGCTGAAACTGGGCTGAGCTGGTGACTAAAAATTGTTTAAAAAAATTAATTAATTAATTTAAAAAACAGTTGAGTTGAGGTCTTAGTAAATTATGTTTGCATTTTGCACAGCCAGATTCTGAAAATTACAGCTTATTTTCATGTTTTTTCAAGGACTTTCTCACTATTTTTATTTGGCATACATTTGTTATTATATAAATGTGTCATATAAATGTTTTTCAACATATTTAAAAATCAATCAATGTATTCCTTTGTGACTCATAAGGAAACCGAGAACCTCTGGAAAATTCTCCAAATATTTCAAGAAATTTAAAAAACTCCATGAACGCAGTTGACAACCACTCACAAGCAGTCACAGCCCAGTGAGATGCTGCTTAACACAGAAATGTTTCTGATTAGTTAAAATAGTCAAATGGTTAAGAAACCAATTGTAAAATTGTTGAACCCAAACAGTAACACCGTGATTAAAAAAAACATACGTTTTTGGGAAACATATTGCAAATGTTTTAAGAACAGTAACAATTTGCTCAGGTTATGTCCACATTTTGTGCTGTGCCTGTCATACAAATACTAAACTGGTGTTTGTTTTGCAGAATCTTACTTCAGAGATGTACATTGAGCTGGTCAAAGTCTCTTTCAACACTGACGTTTTTGAAAACAACATTGGCTACCTGCATTTTGACATGTTTGGAGACTTTGAGGAAGTCAGACCCATTGCCCAGATTATTGTTGAGCATGTCTGGAAGAAAGTTGTCAACACAAATGCTATGATCATTGACCTCAGGTGAGTAATCTGATGTAAGGATAATGTTCATTTTGTCAAAAAAAGTTAATTTTATTCTGCTGAAGCTCATTAATCCACATTTGAATAGAAATTTATGTTGAATGTTTTACTGTATATTGTATATGTATACAGTACATAGATTTTTTTTTCCAAGATCCCCCTCCCCGCTCAAGGAGATTGCTCAATCACTAACCCTCCATCCTACAGGTCCAAACTTCCTCTTTCTAGCTGAGCCTAACCCAAACAACATGAGAAAAGTCTGTTCAGGCTAGTATGGAAACAGACTTTGTAGCGTAGAGGCCAGCTAGAACCCACCAGCCACACCTTGTTGTGGCAGCTCTCCTTCCTTAGGCACTTGGAACACGGGCTGAATTTGTTTAGAAACCAGGAATAGCCTTCTGTGGTGTTGGGTACAGTTATGGGGTGCCGTTTGTAAAGTTACACAGTCAAAAATTACCACCAATATTTTTGTTTTGTTTAGCCTTTTATAAGAAAATAAAGAACAGATTTAGTTTTCAAAGTCAGTTTTTCGCCATGTATTCATACATTTACCTAAATATTTAGGTAGGTAGCTAAATATTTAAGTTAAATATTTAGGTAGCTAGCTAAATATTTAAGTTAAATA